TGAATACAGATGGAACTGGTCTTCAGAAGTTAGAAAAACCAGAACAGTCGTAGGTGCTTCTTCATGTTGGGTCAGTTTAAACCACTAACCTTTCTTTTTTTCCTCTTTACCAGGAAGATCCTTACAGGAGGAAGAAGCTTCAGGAGAAAAGAGAAGGAAATGCACAAAATCTAAATTGGAGTAAACATCGAACCTGTAGAAGAAACAAGAAGAGAGGCGCCACTCAGGTCTCGAGGTATGTCATTTTTACGGCCCTTACAACTCTGATCTGGTTTTTCACCTTAAAACTCTGCATTTCACTGTTATCTTTCATTTCTGTAAGTTGGATAGAAAGAGAGCATAAAGTAGTCTCTTGAGATTGAAATATATTTGTAAAATTGACATATTTTCTCAAAGAATACCTTGAAGCTTTAGGGCAAAGCCTAGGCCCCCTCGGTGCCCAGCCCTCCCTTCCGCCTGTGCTGCAGCTGCTGGAGAGAGCTCGGGATGCAGGCAGGCCTCTGTCCCCAGCGTGGTCACCAACCCACCTGGGCCCACGATAGTAGGGTAGTGTGGTCCCGACCCCCATGCCCTTCACCCCAGTCCTGCGGAAGTGGCTTCTTCCAGCTGAGGGAAGCGAGGCACCCAGACACAATGTGATGGTGAGGGCAGAGCCAGGATGGGACCCAGGCAGTTTGGCATTGTGCTTTGGAAACTTGGCTTCCTTGAGGTATGTAGCCTCCCCGAGGTTTTATTTTCTTGTCTGTAAAATGAAGGAGCTGCATGGTATTTTGTGGGAATCCTTTATGGACACAAGTAAAAGAAATAGCCTCCTAAATCTAATCTGATACAAATTTCTTAGCTTGAGGATGTTTTCTTCACCAGATCAGTAGCGTGTGTGCATTAGGACTCCAGATCTGCCCAGGGTGTGTGGTCTCACTGTTCTGAGTTCTTACATCAGGCTTCCCATGCCTGACACATGGACCAACAGGAGCCTGCATCACAAAACTGCTCCCCTGCCCTCGCCTCCCTGGACCTGGGGTGGAGCCCTTCCGGGTCTCCCCTACCCTGAGGATGCCCCCTGCCAGGTCTTCAGTTCCATGCCCTGGCTCCTGGTCACAGCTGATGTGCGTGGGCATAAAAGTCTGTTTTCCACCCAGGACCCCTCCTGTCCTCCTGACTCAGCTTTTTCTTCGGAGTCTGCTGTCTAAAGATTTCCTTTCTTGTGAGCTCAGCTAGGTATTTGAATGAGTTTCCATCAGATTCCTCTCCAGCAGTTCCACATGGTATGGGTAGCGCTCCACCCTGCTGAGAGTGGTGCTGTTTTTGTGTCTGTCCCCAGACCCCAGAGAGGCTGCCGTCCAGAGCTTGGCACCCCTCACTCAGCCTTGTCACTGCTCCCTGATGAGTCCCACATGTGTTCCTGGGGGACCAGCAGAGCCCTGGGTGGCTCCCAGCTCCTACAGCCAGCTCATATGGAGCAGGCAGCAAAATGCAAATGTGAAAGACCAGACATACCCATTACTAACTCATTGACAGCGCCAAACTGGTTGTTAGTGGGTCATTTTCTTCTTTGAAGCCTAGATTATTTGGACTAAATTGTTTGAAAGCTACAGTGCAGTGTTCCGTAGAAAGGGAAAGTCAGACCTTGCTGCAGTTTTTTTACATATATCTTCATAAACATGTGATTGACTATGAGATCATTTTAAAGAATTCTGTTTTCCTGGGCCAGGGATTTAGCTCAGTGGCACCGTGCCTGCCTGGCAAGTACAAGGTCCTGAGTTCAATCCCTGGTACTGGAAAAAAAAAAAGAATTCCATTTTCCTGGATATGAACATATAGAAAGATATAAAAGAATACAGTTTCACCAATAAAATGTTAGGATATATTTTTAAAAGCAGATTTCTGAGATGCTGAAGAAATAATTAAATTGTTAAAATAAAAACAACTTCCAAGTATTCTGTAGCTTCTTCACAATGTTTTGAGGATGTGATGCTTAAAAAGTGGGTAGTGGTTGTTGAGTTGTCTTGTTTTATTTCTGCCCACAAATTCTTTGTACCCTGATCAGAGGTGGCAGGGAGTTTGTAAATGGGTGAAATGGTTTGATCTTACCGACCGTGCTACAACCTGACACTCAGTGCTAAGATTGGACCATGGGACAGACTCATGTCATTACATGTGCATTCTCCTCATTTCTACTGTTTACAAAGTTGTGTTATAATTCTTCCCTCAAGGAGCTCGTAGTCTAGTAGGAGGGGTTTGTTTAACATGAACATCCTTGGGGGAATTTTATTCTCTTTTTCCTGTAGCCACTATAGCTTTCCTGACGGTGTATAGACCATAGTAGTCACTCAGCAAATGTTTGCTCAATGCATGAGGATGTATTTAGCAATCAGTGTCTTCTGCAAGCTAGCACGGAGCAGGTTTATCTATTGAAAATCAAGGAAAACCAGGTAGGAGTCCTGGGTTCTGGTCCTGAACCTGATACTTAGTGATGCAGTGCCCTTGTGGAGTCCTTCTCGCTCTAAAATATGAAAATATATGTGCTGCCAAAGTGAGCACTGAAATATGACAGTAGATTAAATGGTTCTAATGTAATTTATGTTCCAAAATAGCAGCATGGGTTTTTGTTGGTGTAGGTGCTGGGATGGAACCCAGGGCCTCATGCGCGCCGATCACACACTCTACCCTGAGCTACACCTACCCGATCCCCCAGACCTTCTCTTTTTCTTACTGATGTCCCTTACTTGCTTATCATACTCCCCCACAGACCCAAGGAGAAGAGGCCTCAACTTGTCCCAAATTCATATTTTCACCTCCATTGAGTCTCATGGGGAGGACATGTTTGTTACTCGTGATAAAATACGTTTTTTTTTTGGTACTGGGGATCGAACTCGGGTCCTTGAGTTTGCAAGGCAGGCAGTGGAACCACTGAGCTAAATCCCCGGCCCTAAAATACGTTTTTTTAAAAATAGCTGTTTATTTGTGTGGCTCCTCCAGGCCTTCTGAACAGAGTGAACTAAAGCTTGTGTGCAATGACTTCGAGAGGTCTGAGTTGAGCAGCGACATCGATGTAAGAAGCTGGTGCATGCAGGAAAACACTGAAGAGATTTGTAAAGCAGATTCGGCGACTGAAAACAGCTCACCTCCTGCACAGAGAGAGGCAGGTATGTGCTGGCGCAGAGCTGAGAACAGGAGGGTTGGTTCGCGTGAGGAAATGTCCATTGTGCAAAGAACACCACCTCAGTTGTCACTTCACAAGCAGTTTGGCTAATGGAAAGCTGTCAGGGTAAGACCGGAAAGCTAAGATTCTTTCTGAGATTGGGCAGGCCCTTCCTGTTGCCTGCTAAAATCTGGCCATTCTCCTGCATATTGCTGAATGAACAGGACACTTGGTGTAGCCCTGGGTGACAGTGCCACCCCACCCCCAAGCCTGGTAATTTCTACAGAGCCAAGCCACTGCCCTGGCCAGGAACAACCGGCAGTGTCCTGGAGCAGTACGCAGAGGGCCCCCTGGTGCTGGGCCCAGGGAAGAACAGAGAAGAGCAGGGCCAGAGGGCCACAGGCGTTGGCACAGGGTGGCGGGGAGTTGGCGGTCCTCCCGGCCTGTACCTGCTTTCCCCGGACACGTGTCCACGCTGGTGCCCACCAGCCACAGAGCTGTCCCTGTCTGCTCTCTTTCCTCCCCTTGACACGAGTATTGTTTTTTGATCTTTTTGGAGATTCTTCCCACCCACATATCAGTAATACTGACTTGTAGTGGACAGCTTAATAAAAAGGGAGAAGTTACCTGTAAATCTCTAGCCCAATAAAGTAACCTCAGCTTTCTTGATAGAAGTATTTGTTATTTCTGGAACTATCTTCATTTTATGTATTTATTTATTTGGTGATGCTGGGGATTGAACCCAGGGCCTTTTGCATGCTAGGTTGTGCCCTACTAAGCTGTATCCACAGCACCTAGGACCACTTTTAGATTGAGGTTCTATTTGGCGCTGAACATCTTAGCTCCAGACAAGTTGAATCGATCATCCGTAGGCATGCTGTCATGCCCATCCCCTCCGTTTCCTAAGGTCCCATGTTAAGTGTCACTCAGCTTTGGTCTTCTGCTCGCTGAGCACCCGTGGCAGGTCCTCAGACCGACCCTGGTGGTCTTCCTAATCCCACCTCTCCATTTGTCAGCAACTGCACGGGGTTGAAACTGCCTCTGTGTAGCAAGCTTCTGTCTCACCTCCTCCAGACGGTTACTGCCAGAGGCCTGAGAAGAAATGTGCAGACAAGTTTTGCTCCGACTCTAGCTCCGACTGCGGCAGCTCCTCGGGCAGTGTGCGCGCCAGCCGGGGCAGCTGGGGCAGCTGGAGCAGCAGCGGCAGCTCGGACGGGGACAGGAAGCCTGCGGTGGGGCCGCAGCTCTTTCTTCTCTCCAGTGAGTCCTGGGGTGGCCCTCGGCTCCCCCACATGCCCAGCACCCGCTCTAGATCTGCCTCACAGGGATGCAGAGGGGGCGGCAGCTTTGAGGCTTTGCTGTGCATTTCACTTACTGTCTCTTTCCTCCCTTATGTTTCCTCCTTTCCTGCTAATCGTCATTATTAGTACTTAGTGTCTGACATGGTTCTCATAGAGCTGTGTTTGTACTCTTGTTTTTATTGTGGTAATATATATGTAACCAAGTTTTATTTTAGCCGCATCATGTCCATATTGCTTTGCAGCCATCACTACATCCAAGCTGTGCCTACTAAACAAGGGTTCCCCATCCCCGCCCAGCCCTGCCCTGTGGCCCTGGTGCACCTCTCTTCTACCTTTGTCCCTGCAAACTTGAGCACCTTAGCTATCTCATGCATGTGGGGTCATGTAGTGCGATTGCCTTTTTGTGACTGGCTTATTTCACTGAGCACAGTGTCCTCATGCTCATGCATGTGTCAGTGTGTTTTATGACTGTATAATACTCCATGATCTGTCTACGTCATGTTGTTGTTATTCATTAATTGATGGTCACCTGGGTTGCTTCTAGATTTTAGCTGTTGTGAATAATGCTGTTGTGAGTCTTGACTTCCCTTATTTTTGAGAAATTTAATGATACAGGAGAGATCAAAGAAGCATGTATATTTCTATCCAGAATTATTAATTTTTTCACATTTTCTTCTAGTATTTTTTTGAGAAGAAAATACTTTATTATCTGTTTACTTTTCCTTTCTGACTCAGTGTCTCCTGTCACGATGTGGTGTATACTTAGTCCATTTTGAATTTACATTCATACATCCATCAGCAGAATGTAGAAGTGCTTGTTTTCAGCTTATATAAATGAAATCCTACTTGAACTTTCTCTGTCTTGCTTTTTTCACTCAGCATTGTTTTTTATAGTCCTGTGTACAAAAATTAGTTCATTCCTTTTAACTAAATTTTCAGCACAGTAAACTTTTAACCTCATGAAAGAGGAAGAAGGCCTTGAGGCCCAGCCGTTCACGTCTTGTGACCACTCACACAGTGCCCAGGAGCCCATGAGAAGGGCAGTGTCCCTGTCCTGTTGCTGTGACCACATGGGCTGAGCAGGGTTTGTGGTTTGCTGAGCAGTAGCTCAGCCTAGGGCCTCTCTCCCCAGGACACACATGCACACACGCACGCGCGCACACACACACACTGTACACCCCCACCTCTGCCCTCTTCACTCAGCGTGACCTACACACTCCACAGAGACCCTCCTGGGGTACCTGCAGCTGTGCGCTTCCCTTTTCCCTCTCTACCACAGAGGGTCCTGTCCAGGAGCCCAGTGCACTGGTCACAGGAAAGCAGGCCTGGGGAGGCCGCCTGGGGCCCCAGCCAGTGCACCTCAGCGCTGTGTTCCCCACACCCCAACCCGGCCTCTTAGCGTTTTCCTAATGACCCTCATAATCTTTTTAAATCACCCCCACACACTGTGTATCTGTGTATTGCTGAGTTCAGTGCTTTATACACACAAAGACCAGATTTTCTCCGGGTCCAAGGTACAGACCAGGTTCCTCCTTGGGGCAGTCTCACCGTTCCGGAAATGCGCGGACTTAGGTGAAGGGCGGCACTCGGCATCTTGCCTGGTGGGGGTGGTTTTCTTGGCTGCAGGAGGTCTGGCTTTCACAGCTTACAGTTCACACAGCTACCACTGAAGACTAAGGATTTCCCTGGCAGTGCTAACAACATGAGACTTTGCAAAGTCAGTCTGTAACGTTAAGGAAAAATACAAGTGCAGTTTTTGCTTGGAGGGTAAGGGCAACATTAGACGAATGATAAAAGTTGCTAACAGTGTTGCTATGTGGTGGTGTAGTGTCGTATGTAGTCTGTAAGTTGCATTTGAAGATTATGTAATGGTAGGGAAATGTCCTTAAGGTAATAAATGGTATAAAAGACCAAAAAGGCAAAGTATAGATGGAGTATGATTCCACTTTTTTACACACAGACACATGTAAAAGAGACTTTAAGGCAGTATACCTAAGTGCCCATAGTGATAGGATAATTGTAGGTAATTTATAATTTCTCTTCTTCAAACTTTGACTTCTTTTTGTAGATTTCCTACAATAGACATATATATTGCCTTTTTAAACTGAAGAGGTGAGCACTATAATCATATAGCTAAATTTCTTTATCAGGATAAAGGTTCTACTAAAAAGTTACATCATATTGACAGTTTTAACTCTTCTCCACAAGGTAATATATTATTAATCCAAAATTCATAAAGTTAAATGTTGATTCATTATTAACTTTTCAATGAAAAGATAAATTATAAAAGGGTTTTTAAAAATTAAATGACTGTGAGGACATCAGTTTAAAGTGAAAAATAAAAGCGTTCATTGGGATTAATAATGCTAGTAATCTGTGCATCCTAATACATTTGGATTCTTTTTTTAGACTTGTAATAATTTCTTTTTAATGCAGGAGACAGTGTTTCCCAAAGTGACTTTCCTTCTGGAACTCCCATCTCCATGAACCTTTCTCGTCACATCTGCAGCCCCGTGTAAGCTTTGAAGCTCCCAGCCTTTACATTATCTTTGGTGTACTGCCTTTTCTATCAGTGTATTTCTTCACAGTGCTTCATGTGTGTTAAAATATGAAAACCTTTTAAGGATGCAGGAAAGTAAAATTTGGTGACATTAACAACATGGAAGAAATTATCCTTTCACGTAAACACAGTTTACATGGATATGCTTGGTCCCTCTGTCTTCTCAGTGATATAGTTAGAAAATTTGTCATTTCTGAAAGTAGAAAGGAAACAGCAGTAGTTAATTAGGACAATGTAAATCATATACCCTTGGCTAGGGCTTGAAATAAAATTGACCATTGATGATTCAGAAAATTTATGAGAGCCTGATCAAAATTCACACATTTATGGCTCTTAGTGTGATGCTTTCTACAGCACTGGACAAGGTGAACCAGTACTCTAGTCCCTCGGAACCCACAGTGATGGGTCCCAGGACAGCAGCAGACACCAGAACCCACAGCCACTCAGCCCCTTACGTGAACTGCTGCTGCATGTGCATATGACCTCTGTCGTCTCTAGGTTACTCATAATACCTAATGCAGTGTAAGTGCTACAGATAGGTTTTAGGTCATCTTGTATAGGGAAGAATGACAAGGAAAAACATCTGCTCAAGTTCTCTACATGCTTGGCTGACCCAGGCCCAACTGCCTAATGGTCATCAGCAACTACATAACTTGCCCTTTTGTGAATATTTTCAATCCATGGTTGGTTGAATCCCCAGATGCAGAACCTGTGGGTGGAGGGCCCAGTGCGTGAGAAGAGAGTGAGCTAAGCAGAGAGACAGATGTATTTTTTTTAGCCTGCCTCCATATGAGAAGACAGGAGGATGAGAATAGTAGGATGAGTTTGCCAAGAAGGAAAGTCGGCTAGCAGACAAGGAAAGCTCCATGTGAACCTTTTGTTAGAAGTAGAAAATAAACCAGGGATTCAGAATTGCTGCTACCTGGTAGTAGGTAGTTTTTAAACTGCAAGGCTGTCTTTGTTCCCTGGGTTAAGTCTTTTACAAAGCAAGGCTTTCCTGGATCCTGGGAGCGTAATACTCCTCTTTCCTGGCTGTGTACCTTTATGTCTCTCCTATCTGCGTGCATCTTGGGAAGAACTCATGTAGAAACTTGATTGCATGTGGTTGTGCGCCACGTGAGCTTTCAGCACAGAAGTGTCATAGTCCTCTGCTCACTCTCCTCAGAGACGTGATCCACCTCCCACCGTACGCAGAGCCTTCCTGTCCCAGCCTTCCCGCGGAGCCCCCAGGTGTCGAGGACGAGAAAGGTGAGGCCAGTCCCCTTGCAGTGGACACCTGCCTGCTGTGCTGTGCTGCTCTCCGGCTGGGGGCCCGAGATGAGGCCGCGGGGCGCCTTCTCGCAGATGTACTTGGAAGCCCCAGGAAGGTTCCCGCCTCGGCACTGATGCTGAACCCTCCTTGAACCCGAGGCAGACTCCACTGCACTGCAGCTTCTTCAGTCAGGGCTGACAGAGCAGAAGGCCCAGCTGTGGTCCAGAGTAGCGAGGCCCAGCTGAAGAGCAAGCCATGCTCAGGCTTCCTGCTCCCGCTCCTCTCCGCCACCTCTCCAGTTCGCCTTGTCTCGGGAGCCTGTGAGCCCTGCCTCAGCTGCCTGGGTGGCCGGCTTCATGCCTGCCCAGGCTATGGCCAAGAGCTGAGCTCCCCAGATTGCCTGGTGGGGGAGGGTGCAGTGCAGAAGCAGCGAGGAGGGAGACCCCCGGGCTCGGCTGGGAGGTTGCCTCTCCTTTTCCTCCTCTTCTGCCTCCCTGTGCCTTGGCCTTTTGTCTCCTGTGTTACTCAACGGGTGCTTTCCTGCTGGGTCCATGTCCGGAGTTGTGGGAGGATATGCCTGGCTTTCACCTTCCTCATAGCATCACTTACCTTTATACACTTGCTTCTGCATCTATAAAGTAATCCTGGATTTAAAAGCCCCTCTAATCACTGGAGAGTTTTACTTGGAAAACATAAAGTCTCTATACTGCTCCTTGGATACATTTGGGCTTGGCAGATTATTAACATGAATTATTTGTGAATTAAATCTAGTGACTAGTCCAATAAGATAGTAATTTTTAATAAAAGGGAATCTAACACGTAAGTAATTTGTAATTGTCTAAGGTAAGATTGGGAGGAGGTTTTGGTGGTATTACCTGTGTTTCTGTGAAGTAATAAAGAAGAGGTAGGATTTAACTAATTGTGGGGAATAATAACTACATCAGAACAGATGCTCCAGACCAGGGGTGTAGCTCAGTGGTAAAGCACAGTGCTTAGCACACACAAGGCCCTGAGTACAGTCCCCAGCAAAAACACACAGCCCGGATACCTTTTAGTATATGTTAGTCTGCTTTTGTCTTTGTTGTCAATTAGAGATGCAGATGTGATCTAGGTTCCTGACCCATCTTTATTTGTATTTCAGGGGCCTTTCAGCTGATCCTCATTAATGATCTACAGGCTCTTTGATTACCTGTTATAATCCTTGGTTAGGGCCTGAAGTCACCAATAAAAGAACTCGTCTATAGCCTGTCCTCTACAAAGTTGTGGCCCTGTCTGCTTTACTGTCCTCAGCTCGCTCCCATCCACACTTCCATCCCTGCCTGCTGGAGTTCCCTGCTCCACGGTTAAAATCATTTCCTTGCTTTCTCTCCCATTCTCCCGTGAACCTTGCCAACCCCAGCAGTCATGGTTCTGCCAAGTTCTCTGTCTGCCCCACCTGCTCCTGGAGCGCAGCTCACACCTGTGAGCCGTGCCTCTGCCAGTTCCTAACCGCTGGCCTCAGCGCCACAGCTCCTGCTTCTCCCCGGCCCTCCCCTTTCCTTCCTCTCCCATCTTCGGCCTGCACTTCTGTGCCTTCCACCGCCTTCTCTTAATTGATCATGCTTCCAGCCTCACTGGAATTGAGAAGCAATCCGGGCCCTTCCGACCGTCCCCAGTGCCCCTCATGCGCCCAGCACCTCATGCCACTTTGTGCTTCCCTCCCGCTGTATCCTGTGGAATGGCCAGTACAAACCTCTCCCCAAAGATGTTGTTTCAGATGTTTTCCTTCCTCCATCATCACTTCCTGTCTAAGGGGTCATTTCCATCAGCACACAAGCGTGCTGTCTCACCTCCCCTCTTAAAACCCAGCAACAGCCCAGATTCCCTCCCTTGCCTGCTGCTCTAGCTGCTGTTCAGTTTCTCTGTTCCTGGCTCAGGAGACTCCTGAGAAGAATTATCTGTGTTTGCAGATTGATAATCTGAGGACCTGTTAGAAACTTAGTCATTTCTTCCTCATTGCCCACATGACTCTGGCCCTCAGAGCATTGTCCTCAGTCCCCTCCCTGCCCATGCACCCCCTTACTGACCTCATCCACTTTCAGAGCTTTGAATCTGACCTTATACCCCCACAGCTTCCAAATTTCTGTCTTCAGCCTGAGTCTTTCTGCTGACCTCTGGTGTCTCCTCACCACTGCCATTTTGACATGTTGTTTGGGGGTTGACTGCTCTGTCACCTCCCACAGACCTGCTCTTCTTTAGTTTCCCATTCAGTCTCTCTCATTGTCCTGGCCCCAAATCTAGGAATCATGCTTGGCTTTTTCTTTCTCTTGCCCTACACGTGTCCACTGTCTTGTTCTGTTAGCTGTCCACCTCCCAGGTCCAGTGTCTGCTCACCCCCTCAACCCTAACCTCCCTGCTTCAGGCTGTCTTCATGTCTCACTTGCTGTCCCAGAAACTTCCTAGCAGGTGTCCCTGCTCTGCCCTCACCCCCCTCTACCATCTGTACTTAACACAGTGGCCACAGAGATGTGTCAGACATATGTCAGATCTCATCACTGACAAGAAGTGGGAAGCCGCTGAGATTTCTCCCCTACTTACAAGTTTCCAAGGTCGCCTGGCAGCTGGTCCTGAGAGCCGGCAGAAGAGCAGCGGCTTCTTGGTCAGAGACAAGAGACTTTGAGCACAGCAAGTGACGTGCACATCCATGTCCTTATGTCACTTCTCCTTGCCCCTGCTGCCCCGGATGCAACACAGACAGGACAGGAACCCTGAGCTCAGGGAACCCAGTTCTTTTTTAATGCACAGGAGACAATATCTTATATTAGAATGAGCAAACTTGCCACAAAGGGAGACATTTCCTGTGTCTCTGGGAAGAAAAGTCAGAGTAAAGGCAGCCAGTGCTTCTGTTCACAAGCAGCATGAAAACGTGAGCAGCCCCTAGGGAGTCGTCTCCTTATGTGTACACCTCTTATTTCGGTATACAGCCTTGGCTTCTGGTGGGTTTTCTCTTGAGCACAGCATTCCATAGGCAGTTCTTGATTAATCTGTCAGAAGATGGAACCACAACTGTCTGATCTGTTGCATACAACATTTAGTAGCAGCTACTATCAACAGGACTCTGTCGAGGAGGACGCGGCCACCCTGCGGTTTTGACCTCAACCATGTCTTGAAAAGTCCCAGAGCCACCCAGCTGAACAAATCCCATAAACCAGCAGGGTCAACCTTAGGAAACCAGGCAGCTTCCTCAAGTCTGTGTTGATCCTTCTACTGGGAAGGAGGCGCTACCCTCAGTACAGTGGGTGCATTTATGACTCCACGAACTCTGGCCTGGCCAGTGAGTTGAAGCTGAGCAGGATGCCTTCCAGGGTCTGTGTCGGTCACTTTGGTTGATATCATCAAACAAATCTCATACTACCCACCCTCCCTCTCCTTCCTTCCTCCTCTCTTTCCTGTACTTTCTTTTCTTTCCTTTCTTTCCTTTCTTTGTGCTGGGGATTGAACCCAGGACCTCATACATGCTAGACAAGAATTCTGTTACTGAGCTAAATGCCCGGCCCATATCTTTTTGTTTTGGATTTGTTTTGAGATGGGATGTTGCTTTGTTTCCCAGGCTGTCCCTGAACTTCTGGGCTCAAGTCTCCCTAGGAGCTGGAGCTACAGGTACAGGTTAGCACACCTCACTAACCCATAACCATTTCTAGTTGGATGGTTCCCTCATAGTGATGACCGCCCTCGGATGTGCAGGGCCTGGTTCCCCTAATCGCAGCTCCATCTGAGGAATCTCCACAAGGGGGTGTAGGCTGCGCAATCTGTTGGTGGTGTTTCCTCACACACTTGCAGGGCTCTCAGATCCTCCCTGAGGCGCAGGTCTGTTTCCAGGAGGAGACAGTTACTGTTTGGCTTCCACACAGGAAGTACAGTGCTGGGGTACTTGTGCTCACCTGGAGAGAGTTTTGTTTTCAGTTGTTGAATGTCCTCAAACAGGACTTTCAGCAGTGACTCGGGCACAGGTGGGCAGTGTCCCCAGCACAGCCTAGCTGGGTAGTAAACTCAGGTTCCCAATTTAGTGTGGGGCTGGGTCTCGTCTGTTGCTGGGGGTTGCTTGGTGCATTTGGCCCAGCCTGTCCTGTTCTAGGCGCCAGGCCCATGACATCCCTCCCTCCCTCCCTGCATCCATCCACCTGTCTCTCCATCCGGCTACCCCACATGTAGTGAGCGATCCTGTGGCAGTGAAGATGGGAAGACAAGCAGAGGTGCTGGCAGGTGTTTCTTGTGGGAGGTTCAGAGCCAGGCTGTCCTTGCAGAGCCGCAGGGGGAAGAGATCCAGTTGAGCTCAGAGCTGTGTGGTGGGTGGCTGGCACCCAGGCTCTCCCACAGATGGCACTGACAGCAGCTCAGGGCATCTTCCTTCCTGAGGTGGGCCTGGGGCCTCATGATTGTCGCTGTCCACACCCACGCCTCTGGGGCTTATGGTGGCCATCCTCCCCTCCGCCCCACCTCATGGCCACAGAACCCTTGTGTCTTACTCCAGGAGCTGTGGTTTCACCATTTCTCCAGGCAGACCCTCCTCAAGCTCCCTTTCATTCAGAAGGACAAGTACAAGAGGGACTCAGTGTTTAGAAAGCATACAGAGACCCACCTGCCCCTCCAGGGTCCTTGTCCTTCGGAGGAGGGTCCTGAGCTTGGACCCTCTTGGTGAGCTGATGCTTGAATGAAGTTGGGGGCACGATGCCAGTGTGTCTCCGGGAGTAGTGAGAATTCTGAACATTCATAGATCTGCGGCATCTCACCTCCTGCCCCTTTTGGCCCTGATCACGACCCAGGAAGCAGCAAGAGCTTATGGTGCTCTCTGGGGCAGCTTCACCCAGTGACCACCCCACTGGCCTCCCAGAAAATGCAGGCCGAGGCAAGTGGAGAGGCAGAGTCAGAAACCTGGGTTGGTGTTGGAGGAAGCTGCTCCGGTGCTCAGCAAGACTTGGTGGCTGGGCATGAGAGAGCACCCAGGCCCTCCAGAGCTGCGACCGCGCAGCCTCCCTCCGTGAGCAGGTGCAGGATGCAGGTTGCTCTCAAGGCTGTCCACGTGTGGCCCAGGTGGCTGCTTGGTGGAGCAGCAGCACCGTGCCCTTTGGTGTGGGGTGGTATTGAGGTTGTGCTCATAGCCCGAGGTCAGCAGTGCCGTGTGTGACAACAGCAGGGCAACTCCGAGCAGTGGTCATGGCGGAAGTGTCCACACCAAGCCTGCCACTCTGTCCTCTGTGCCCTGTCTCCGATGCTGGGCGTGTTGTGTCCAGTGCAGGGGTGGACCCAGGCGGCACAGACTCGGCCGAGGCTGGATTCCAGCACCTGTCCAGATCGGGTCCTCACCTGGGCCTCCACTTGCGGGGCCTGGAGCTTTACTCAGAAGCCAAAGTTCAGCTCCATATTTCAGCCTCGGTGAGCAACTTCTGTAACCAGACAGTCTAGCTTTCTGAGAGGCAGGCCAAACATTCTGGGCTATTGGCAGTAGCCCAGGAGTCCGTAAGAACACGGGGAGAAGGCCTAGAGAGACCACGTTCATTTCCTCCTGTGCGAAGTGGGCGCTGAGGTCGGACTGCTGGGGCAGCCCTGTGAACACCGGTTCCATAGCTCGACCCCAGCATCCGTGAAGCAGACCGAGGCAGGGCGTGTGCCGCCCCGCCACACAGCTTCTTCCCGTTCCCGCACCTGCAAGCCTTCCGCCACCCTAAAGTTGCTTGTTCCTAGTTACAGCATGTGACTGTCCACCTGCTGTGCTTGTTTCTCCTTCGTTGTTTGTCTCCATTCACTTGAACATCCCTGTTCACTGCTGTGTCCCTGAAATCTGTCATGGGCCTTGCAGAAGGTAGGCCCTCAGATACCTGCCCAGTGAATGCCTCTTGGCATCCAGATCAGAGTGCAGTCTGGACCGTCTGGAGCAGAGACTGAGATACCACCCTGAGGCGAAGCAAGGATGGGTCCTGTCGGGAGGGCGCCTTCTGAGCAGAGGGCTTCAGCTGGCACTGAGGGGAGCTGAGTGCCAGGTGAGGAGGAGGTGAACTGAGAGGTCTTGTCCTCTCCCTAGGTCTATACCCACCTGGAGACTTGTGGCCGGCCCAGCCAGTGTGTGTGGCGAGCAGCTTGAACTGCAGCTTGGAGAACAGCATGCCTGCCGTGATTCAGGAGCCCGGCCCGGTCCCTAACAGGTACGGCCTCGCTGCCCTCAGGGGCGCCTTGCTTGGCCTGGAGGCTTGCAGGTGGGGTTTGCATGGAGGTTGCTGAGTTGTCCATACACATCTTAGGACTGGGCTGCTTCCTCAGGTGTCTGTTTTCTTTTGCCTCTTGGGGTTGCATTGTGATATTTAGAAAATAACAAGACAAGTGTTGAGAGAAACATGAAATAAGTTACAAAGCCAGTGACCCTGTCAGTTTATTTATTTATTTATTATTTTTTTGGTACCGAGGATTGAACTCAGGACCTTGCATTTACGAGGCAGGCGCCGGAACCATTGAGCTAAATCCCTGGCCCGCTGTCAGTTTTCTTTTTTTAATTGAAAAGACGACCTATTCAGACATGAAGCAAAATTTTAAAAAGTCATCCACAATCCCCACTCACTTAACAGAGCAAAGATTTCCATTGTCCATGGAATCATGCTTGAACACATTTAAAAATTCACAAGGTCAGAGAGTTTGAGCATGAAAAATAGTTTTCCAAGAGCGGCTTCTTACAGTCACTGTTGATACTGAAATGTCACTCGGTTAGAGAACCTCCCGAAAATGTTGGTGTCTTTAACCCCAGAGTCCATGTGAAAGTATTTTGGCGGCTCAGGATAGTACGGTGTTAATTGTCTTGTTTCTATATGAGAACCCAGTTTGCAGTGGGGTCAGAGTGGCTTTGAGGTGGGGGCTCCCCGAGGTGAGTGCTGGTTGTGCTCTGCGTGCGAGGCACACTTTCCCTTTCCCTTAGTACGGTGAACGTGGCGATGCCCTTCGTGCGTGCATGTGTGCGTGTGCTGAGCCTCTTCAGGGCATTCTGGGAAGACTGCTCGTGAAGCCCCAGCCTTGGAAGCTGCATTGAGTAGTCCTAAGGGAAGTGGCTGCCTCTCTAAGCCGTCTGTCCCACATGGAACACCATTGGTGATAAGCATTTCCTAATTGTGTGATTCTGCGAATGGAGAAAGTACTTTACTTTATTTTCCTTAGTTGGGAAATTTGGAATGATTAGAATGTTTGACAGTAAAACCCTTTCTTCCTCGTTTATTCCATTGTCCTGTGTCTGAAACTAAACCTCTTATTTTTTGTAGCAGTTTCATTGATTGGAGTGCAACTTGCGAAGGCCAGTTTCCCAGTGTGTACTGCCCGGTGGAAGTGAACGATTACAGTGCCTTTGCAGAAGGTAAAAGCTGTGGGAACAGGCTTCTCTGGTCGAAGCAGGAAGGGTGTGAACATTTGGCACTAACCCAGGAGCAGGGTGGCTTTTCACATGGGGACTTTGAGCGAGCAGACAGACATGGGCTGCTCACAAGTTCACAGGATCCGGTGTGCGCGTCTGCCCTTTGTCATTTTATATGGCCCTCGACAAAGCCCTTCCTTCAGATGTCTGGGCCTTCTGCATTCAACCCTGTTCTGTCTAGTCTTTCACGTTAGGTAGAAGTGGGCTGTTGGTATTCTATGCACCTTGAACAGGATTGGAGAGGCTGGGGCTCAGTTGTTTGCAATTCATTTTAGGCAGACAAGTGCCATATGAAATACAAACATTTACTAAGCTGTCCTTCAGCTTGGCCTAACTTTTGCCCCTGGGGCACAGTGCTGTAGAAGGAAAGGAAGGAGCCTGGAGGGGAAGTGTGGACAGGTATAAGCATCAATCCTAGTAAATAAGAGACAGGAGCTATCCCTGGTCAACTCAAACTTGCTCCCACTGGAGATTTCAGTCCATCTGTGCTCTCCCAGCAGAGCTCCCTTTTCTGGGAAGGGAGACCTAAGCCATGTGCTGTATTAGGTGTTCTTACCCCGATTCTGATGCACACACTGCTCTCTGTTCACCGAAAGGGGGTGCTCTCGTAACTGTCCTAGGAGCGGGAAGCTTTGTGTTTTTCTTCTTGATAATCCGAGAAGTACATGGTTCCCAATTGCCGTCAGGTCATATGGTACATATGCAGTGCCTGAGTGTGACAGAATAGATAATTTTTTTAAATTGGGGGTTGTAACTCACATATGTGAGACTCAAGTTTTGTTGGGGGGGATTTAAGGGCTGGTAAGAATCTGTACTGTATCCGAATTTAGAGTAGTATTTGAAATGCACTTTGTGTACTAGGAAGATTCCCATCAAATAATCAGCTACAGAAAAACTAGCCCAAGGAGGACTTTCCTCACTCCGACAGGTCTAACCTGGAGACTGGCAGTGAAGCACCCCCCTGGCCCACACAAAGTGAAATATTTCTTGTCTTTCACTTGTCAACACATGAAGGCCTTGCACTTTTGTGCCTGAGAGAGAGAAAGCTTTTCTCCTGAAAGAACTCAAGATCACTGCTCCATAAAAACGTCAACCCTGTATTGTCTCCCGTTCTTTGTAGAAAATATGAATTGTGCCAATGGGTTCCCTTGTCCTGCAGTTGGGACCAACTTTATCGATCATAACCCTCACTCTACCTGGAACGCCGCACCCCGCATGCCTGCTACCTGGGAGCACGCGGGCTTCGTCAGCTCTCCGGTAGGTGTGGCTCCTCCTGGGTTGTAAGGTGCTTGTCCCCCTTCCATGCTGGCCTCCGCTTTAGCATTGTGTTCCTGTCAGCCGAGCCTGTGTCTGACGGATGCCTGGCCTGGGCAGTCTGTGTGTAGTCACACAGCCTGTGTGGGGCTGGCGGACACTGGCTGCCCCAGGCTGCACTACCCAGAGACTGTAGATAAGCCGAACACCAGCTGGGAGCGCCCTGTGACCCCAGGCTCCCTGACCCTTCCATCTGCCACAAGGAAGAGATAAAATGCCCCCGAGGCCAGTCAAGGGTCACCCCACTTTTTTTCGATATGAAAGACAGCTGGCTGTGAACCCTTCCTTAGATTACAAATTTTTCCAGTTAGATGAGAATTTCACAGTCCTCTTTTTTTTTTTTTAAACTTTATTATCAGACACACACACATACAGAAAGTAAAACCATTCAAAGAACATGCAAGAGAAAAAAAACTACAATAATATTCAAATACAGTAGAACTCAACCAAAACAAAACTGAAAAGCACTTAAACATTTTTCCATATAATTTAAAAAAACATCTCAAGCACCAACAAGACACCAGAGGATGTGATTTGTTTCAGAAAGATCCCTAAAACCAACATTGAACAAACAGTGGTCTGGAAAAAAACCTCCAGTTAGCTAGCAAACTCCACGTAAGCCAGGCTTCTTCCTAATTTAAATTTCAGTACAGTCATATGACACGTGATGGAAACACAATCCAAGAAATATGTTATTAGGCCATTTCATCCTTGTGTATTCTTAATTACACTCTCAGTTTCTCACCCTAGAGAAACTATTCGGTATTTACACATGTGTGTCCTATTTATTTCACTTAAGAGTATGGCCTCAATATGCATCCATTTAGCTATAA